AGTTGGCTGGCTTGCCTGCTGGTCGAACTCCTGGTAGAGGGGACAATTTGCATATAAGCCTTTTATTATATAGAATACACACTGAGTGGCCAGATTATTATGTGTTCAGAGATCATAGTAATCTGGCCACTCAGTGTATTATGAGCAAAGAAGGTTCCAGAGTTAAATAGGACCATTGCTGCAGGAATTCTCAGACCCTTTCCTGTGTTCAGGTTACTGCAAACTTCTATGAAAGCAGCATTTTTGCTAATATATTTGACCTCAGGATCCTATTTTTTAGCCAAGGATCTCTCAGGATGAGTGATTTTTAAAGCATACCAAGAGTGTAGTGTCCACTCTAGGAAAGAATCTATGTACTTGACAGGAGGAGGGGGTGGGCTATGGTCCGGGGCTAAGTCAGGGCTGTCCTGTAGACCACATAGACTGCCCTTGGCCCAGACCCAGACATTGCACAGCCCTCAGGTTCAGGTTGCCATTTGTAACCAGCCCAGTGTCCACTTGAAACGATTCCCTAACCTTTTATTCTTCCTCCTGCAAACCAGCGGTCGCCAACCAATGGTCCAAGGACCACTGGTGATCCGTGAGGTCCCAAAGGTTGGCGACCACTGTGCTAGACTATTTTCACTTAAAGCAAACAAACAACCCACTGGCTCAGTGGTTGAGTGTTGTCCTATAAACCAGGAAGTCACAGTTTGATTCCTGGTCAGGGTACATGCCTGGGTTGCAGGCTTGATCCCCAGGGCAGAGCATGCAGAAGGATCAGTGATTCTCTCTCATTGCTGCTGTTTCTATCTCTCTCTCCTTCTCCCTTCCTCTCTGAAATCAATCGAATAAGTTTAAAAAAGCAAACAAATGGACAAAGTGCAGGTCGAAAAGCAGCCATCTCAGCAGTGGGGTCCTTGCCACCATGGAGCCTGCAGGAACAGATGTGGAAGGAAGAACCCGAGTTTTAGGGCCAAATGCCTGCTTCACCTCCTTTTCGCTGTGGGGCCAGGGCCAACAGTTTAACTGAGCTAAGACTCCATTACATGATAATAACAACAATAATAATAATAATGCCCATGCTCAGGTGTCACTGGGACTAAATGACCTGCATATCCCAGGCCTCACTTGGGGTTTGCTTGTCTGTGGCTATGGAGACTTCTTATTGGCATCTTAAAAACAAAACATCTCATGTCAATCCATTCTTTGTGACCTGGTCCTTCTGGAGCTGTTGGGGAAGGGAGTGGACCCGCAGGGCTGTCTTGCTACCATGAGGCCACTGACAGAGGGTCCACCAAAGGGCAGCCATCCAGTTCTCTGCCTCCCGAGGGGCGATGTCTTCCACCTTTTGAGAAAGGTTTATTGAAAAGCACATACATACACACAAACATGCACATACATGTATGCCTGAATACCTGCAAGGCAGAGGAGAAAGGAAGAAAAGGGTTAGGATGGTATACAAACTATATAATTGTTTCCTGAACCATCAATAATATTGAGTGAATTTCCCAAATGCCCCGTAACTTTCTTGTTCTCAACCGCATTCTCTGTGAGCTGGGATTTTGTCTCTGGCTCCCAGTGAAACCCAGTGCCCCTGAGACTCCCAGCCTGGGACTTCTCAGCTTCCAGAGCTGGCCTGGGGTGGCTGTGGTGCATGCTGAGTGTGTCCTGACTTGAGCCATTTGCAACGTTCACTTTTGAAGAGTTCATGACCGGTAAGGGAGACTAGGGTGAAAGAGTCAGGCCCAACTTAGCAGCCCGAGCAAAGAGGTCCAGGGCCTGATGTCCCACCTGCCTGAGGTCAGGTGGGAAGTAACAGAAGTAAGACATAGTCCCAAGGTTCCCACTTCAGTGCCAGGCATCTTACACCTCCTATTGTAAGAAGACTTCAGAGGAGATGTTTTTCTCCATGATGAAGGAGAGTGATGGTGTAATTTGCCTAGACAACTAGTAAGTTGTAGAGCTAGGATTTTAAGCTAAAGTCTTCAAACTTCAAAACCAACTCCTCTCAACTACTTTAAGATAATTCCCAGCCCAGCTTGTGTGGCTCAGTGGTTGAGCATCAACCCATGAACCAAGAGGTCACTGGTTCAATTCTTCATCAGGGCACATACCCTGGTTGCAGGCTTGATCCTTAATGGGAGACATGCAGGAGGCAGCTGATGAATGATGTTTCTCTCTCGTTGATGTTTCTATCTATCCCTCTCCCTTTCTTTCTCTCTAAAAAAAAAAAAAAAAAAAAAAAAAAAAAAAAAAAAATCAATAAAAACATTTTTTAAAAAGTATTTAAAAAAAGAAATTTCCCTGTCATAGCCTAAAGGAAGAGCAAACCCAGGTCAAGGCCAAAGGGTAGGCCAGAGACCAGGTGTGGATTGGAGGGCAGAGCCAAGAGCTTGTCAGAGGAATGTTTCCTCACCTGTGAGATGGGAACATAATAGTATCTATCCTTGAGGGCTGTTCAAGGATTCGGTCAGGTAATCCAGGTAAAGGCCTCGGTACAGTTCCTAGAACATGGTAAGTGCTCAGTAAATATTGGCTCTTGCTCTTCGTCTCAGATCCGTGGTCTTAAGGCATGGATGAGAAAACACATTCCTCCTCGGGGACCGCGGAGTGTGTCAGCTGACCTTCACAACTCGGTTCTGTGGCTCCCTAGGGGTAGACATTTTTCTCCCTTTTCTTTTTAAAAAAATATTTTCATGCCACCGAAGAGTAACCTGCAGATGCCCCGTTGTGCTTAGCCATGGGACGATGCCTCTATCCTTGGCAGAGAGAGCGAGTCCCACTCCAAACGTAAGCAGATCTTTGTGGTTTTAGAGGCAAGCTGACTCGGTCCACATCCCAGCCCCGCCACCAGCTAGGCTGCCGGAATGAGTGCATCAGCGCACCGGAGCCTCCGTGCCCTTCGTCTGTGGCACAGGAGGAGTAAAGCCGGTGTCACGGGCAGGCTGCGCCGGTCACAGATGCCAACCCCTGGCACTGGCGCTGTGTGGCTACAGGAGCCTCTTCTGACAGGAACAGGCTTGTCTTCGAGGGGACCAGACCCCTTCCAGCCTGCAGCAGGGGTCTCCTGCCTCCTCCCCCCATCGCCAGCAGAGGAAACAGCCCCTGAGCTCTTTGAGGGGCTGCCCACCACCTTAACCTCAGCTTTACCTCCTCCCAACCCCCTTCAATGCCAGCATCTGTTGCTCAGACAGTCAGCTGCCAAGCTGTGCCCAAGTCTCTCCCAGGTCCATTTCATATGGTGCCACTTTGTTTTTGAAGAAAAGCTGCTATCAGTGCTAGGCCCCGGGGAGGCAGGTCCTGCCTCTGCCAACTGCCAGCCGCGTGCCATCTCTCTCCTCTTGCCCTGGGAGTCCCAGGTGATCCTGTCTCAGTGACAGAGTGTCCCTTACCAGGCAGCTGCCACAGGGACCCTGTGGAGGCACAGACAGCAGACCCCAGGCTCGGTGGGGCCAGGGGTAGCCCCTGGGCTCAGCTCTGCCATTCTGTGGCCAGGTGGCCATGACATCATGCCTACCTTTCTCAATAAGCTGACTCTTCCCTCAGAACAGCAGCCGCATACTGCAGGCCTGGCTTCGCACAGAGAAGGGTCTTTCCCACATAGTGAGCTCACCCTCTGCTCTAGGCACTGAGGAGGGTTTCCCTGGGGTTGACACCCTCCTAGCCATGCAAGGAAGGCCTCCTCATGGCCCCTTGTGACAGGCGGGAAGCCATAGTCACACCAATACCACTTCTAACCTTCCCAACCATCGGAATATTCGTCTGCGTTCTACAACCAGAAAAGCTGAAGTCAGGGAGGTCACACAGCTGGGAAAGGAGCAGAGCGGGAATTCACAGTCTGTTTCACTCGGCAATCCAAAACGTGTCATCACCGAGGACAGTGTGACTGACAGGAGCTTAAGCATTGTGGGAGAACGAGAGAGGAAGGGGCTTGTGGATCTGCCATTTGCTGCCTGACCACTTGGGAGTAGCTGTCGTCAGAAGGGGATTGTGGGTGCCTCGTCTGACCACGCACCCTGTCTGTGTTACGAAAAGCATAGCCCTCCTCTCTCACCCTCCTCAAGGCGATGGGGTGGTAATGAACATAATGCGAGGTATTGCTGGAGTTTGCTGCCTTTATCCGCCTCAGAAAAGTTCCCATCGGAATTGGTGTGCTGGTAACCTGCAGGCATATCTGTCTTAGAAAAATGTCTTTTTTGAGCTGTGATATTCTTTAAACTTTTAGATTAATTGCTAATGTGTCTTTTTTTAAAAATATATTTTACTGGTTTTTTTTTTTGTTTTTTTTTTTGTTTGTTTGTTTGTTTTTTACAGAGAGGAAGGGAAAGGGATAGAGAGTTAGAAACATTGATGGGAGAGAAACATCGACCAGCTGCCTCCTGCACACACCCACTGGGGATGTGCCCACATTCAAGGTATATGCCCCTGACCGGAATCGAACCCGAGACCCTTTAGTCCGCAGGCCGATGCTCTATCCACTGAGCCAAACCAGTTAGGGCTAATGTGTCTTTTTTTTAAAAATGCAGCAAATCACATAGAGCTCCAGATTATTGAATTATCTGGGAAAATCCCAAGCTGGCCACCACTGTCTCCACCACTCCCTAGCACCCCATGTCAGGGTGTGCCAGTCTCCCTGCAGCTCATCCTCTTCCTACCAGTTTGCTTATAGTAGAGCTGGGAAATGAACTTCCTTGTGCTCTATAAAATGGGGAAAAATTAAAAGGCAGTACTAGAGAGTGCACCTTTCTACGTAAAAGTAAGTATTTCTGCCCACTTATTTGCACCGAAATAAGATGAACCCAAAGAGACACACCAGGCCCGTCCCTCCTCCTGGGGGGTCTCTTCCTGTTGTTGTTGGCATCTGACATTGACGCTTGTCTCCAGCAGCGTTAGACCGGCAGCTGCGCCTCTGCAGGTGGCCTGGGGCCCCGGGCCCAGGATGCCCTCGGCCTCTGCCTGGTCCCAGGGCTGCTGGAGCTCTCCCATCATGGTTTTGTTCTCTCTTTTGCCTCCTCCAGGTGTCCCGTTCCCAAAGAACTTCCTGCAGATCTGCAAGAAGATCCTGTGCCGCCTCTTCCGGGTCTTCGTACATGTCTACATCCACCACTTCGACCGGGTCATCGTGATGGGTGCGGAGGCCCACGTCAACACCTGCTACAAGCACTTCTATTACTTCGTCACGGAGATGAACCTCATCGACCGCAAGGAGCTGGAGCCCCTGGTGAGTGTCCCCTGCAGTGACCCAGTCACGCCGGGAGCTCAGCCGCCGGTCACGGTGCACATCCGGACCCAGGCAATGCTCACTACTGGGTCGTTGTTAGCGGAAGCATTGCAGAATGTTCAAGGTCGGTTGAAGGTCAGAAGATGCCAAATGTCAATGGCCATCTAACAAGGGCCTAAAATTCCTCTCGGAGAGGTGGCAGGATATAACGAGATGGTAATGGTTGGGCCAAAGGGAGTAGCTTTCATTCTCAGCTCCAACACCCGTCACCAAATGACTTAGTCCCCTAAGTGGACACCTTTGCTCTCTCATGTCATCTCTTAACTGTTGTTGAAAGATGATCAGAAGCATTTCTTCGGGCGGTAAATAGATACTGAGCACCTGCTGTGTGGCAGCTGCGAGGCAGACAAAGTCAGGTCAATGCCTTGAGTAGCCTTTGCTCTGGGGTGGACAGAAGCAAGCCAGATGAGAGCACAGCATCACAGGACCCTTGCTTTTCATACAGATCCTCTGGGACACAATTTTTTGTGTGTTTTGTTTAATTGATTTCAATGAGGAAGGGAGAGGGAGACAGAGATAGAAACATCAATGATGAGAAAGAATCATTGATTGGCTGCCTCCTGCACTTCCCCTATTGGGGATCCAGCCCATAACCCGGGCATGTGACCTTGACTGGAATCGAACCCAGGACCCTTCAGTCTGCAGGCCAATGCTCTATCCACTGAACCAAAACAGCTAGGGCTGGGACACAAGTTTTAATAGAACAGATTAGAACCCAGAACATTTGATACAAAACTTTGCTGCTATCATTTAGGGGCCAATGTTCATTTTCTTCACAAGTTACTGTTACCGTTAGACCCAGTTGCCTTGGGCAACACACCATCTTTCGTGGCATGTAGCATCTTAACACGATGCTCATCGTGGATATTTCTAGTCAGCTCTGCAAAGGGCTTTTTTAGCCAGAATAATGCACTGCTTTATCGTACAACCATGCTTTCCTCCTGGAACAGTAAGTGGCAGCTTTGTGAAATGTAACTGATATGCTTCATCCTTGTGCATCCGGATAATGGCCAGAATCGTAGGGCAGGCTGTCATCTTGTGCTGCCCTGTCTTACTTTCTCTTTGTGTAAATGTTTCTAAAACAAAGGTTTTATTATTATTTATGTATGGTGAGGCCAGCAGGTCAAACTCTTCGAAGATAGTTTGTTATGCTCACAGATCCCAAGAGACTGGGCACCTTGTGTCATGGGGGCTACACAGGGAAGCAGCCGGGTTGGTGGAGGCCGGAGGAGCAGGGAGAAGGTGGCATCAGCCTGTGCTGTGGTTTCCCTGGGAAGGAATGGGCAAGGCAGGTAAGCAAATGTAAGATGAACCAGTGTGAACCATTTCAGTGGGCTCTGGGCCGAGGGGTTACCCTGGCTTTCTGGGAGCTGGCCTTGGCGGGGATGAGGTCAGGGGAGTAGGAACCTGGGTGTAAGAGGAGAGAGAGGAGGAGGTTGGGGTGTGGGTTCTGTTTATAGGGATTGATGAGTGAGCAAATAGCTTGAGGCTGAGTTATTTGCTATCCCTAGGATTGGCTAACCCTGGGGCCTTTGTGGTCTGTAAGACCCTAGATGTTAAAGAACCCAAGTACAAAAAATAAGACATGTTTAATACAGTACAGTACCTGTATCTGGCAAAGGAGGTGTTCGTGAATGTCATGTATACCGTTAGAGTTTCTGAACTTGAAATCTGTTATAATGCTATGAGAATGCATGGTCGATTTTTAAATTATATTTATTTATTTATTATTTATTTATTTTGCATCACTCAAGAATTCTGGAAGAGGGCAAGACTTTCTGGGTATAATTGAGGCATATCATTGGCTAAAGAAGTGCTAATTTTCTTCCTATTTATTACAACAGCTTTCTAGAAAGCTCTTGAGGACAGGAAGTACGTTGTCCTGAATTTGGTTGGGCAACTGGTGTGGGAAAAAGCTGAAGTACCTCATGAGTGAGCTGGCTCATCTGGGCTGTGTAAAGGCTGCCACGAGTCAACAGTCACTTCAAGTAGAAAAGGTTGTGTAAACAGCTCAAGGGGGTTCAAATGCTGGGAAGAGTGATAAAGCTAATTTTAGAAAATGTCAAGGACAAAGGCAAGAGTGGATGGAGCCGTGAAAGGAAGGATGCTGGGGAACCACTCTGACCTCATGTGAGGAGAAGAGAACGTGCTTCTGCTTCCACCGAGTGTAGAACCAACACGCTCAGGTGGAGGGAAATGCCTTCCTCTGGCCCGCAGGTCCCCCAGGAGGAAGAGCGCACCTAAGCACGCACAGTGCTGGTTCCACTGAGCCAGTCGTCGGCAAACTCGTTAGTCAACAGAGCCAAATAGCAACAGTACAACGATTGAAATTTCTTTGGAGAGCCAAACTTTTTAAACTTAAACTTCTTCCAATGCCACTTCTTCAAAATAGACTCACCCAGGCCGTGGTATTTTGTGCAAGAGCCACACTCAAGGGGCCAAAGAGCCACATGTGGCTCAAGAGCAGCAGTTTGCCGACCAACCACGACACTGAGCTAAGGGAGCAGGAACATTGATGGACAGATGTGAGCGTCTGTTTCTGCTTCTACAGAAACAGAAAGGCCGTTGTAGGACGTAGCTGAGTGGAAGTCAGAAAGTACAGAAAGGCCTTTTCTTTGCCACCAGACAACTTGGTCATTTTCTAAAGAAAGAGGCCACTGCGGCTCTCACACCTGGCCGTGCCAGGGGCTGAGTGAAGTCTCAGAGCCACAGAGAGGCCCCCCAAAACCCTGTATTCTAGATAAGAGCCTCTTTGGGGGAAAACAATCACTATTATTATTAAACTATAATAATAATCAGGAATTGTTAACAGTGGAGGTGAGCAAGAAGGGTATCAGTTGTTGTCCCCCAACCCCAGAAACTTACATTTCTTTAAACCTTGCTTCAGATAGTATCCTTCCTACCTTTATGTTTTGTTAATTATTATTAGAGGGAGAGTAATTTTAATGCTTTTGCAAATTAACAGCAAGTGTTTTTGAATACTTAATTATCTGAAATTATATATTTATTTTACACAAACATGAACCTATAAAAGAAAAGAAAAAGATATTGAGGCTCTTTTGCAAACAGTAACTATGCAGTATCAGACTCTGGATACTTAGTGTTGTGGGGTCGAACCCTGGGTTCAAAATAAGACCACCGGAGGCTGATTAATTAATTTTAAAAAGCAGGCAAGGATTTATTGAACTGGCCAGGACAGCCACAAGAGCACCACAGGCAGGTGGACTCCAAATGACTGCACCATTTCAGGGGTAGGCAATTCCTTTTAAAGGTTTAAACCGCAAGAATTTTCCTTTTGTTCCTAAATCCTAAAGACTAAATTATAAAGACTTGGGGCAACCCACAGGGTTGGTTCCCAGTCACATCCTGCTGGATATTGAAATGTGGCCCTATCTTGCGATAGTAATAACACAGAAGCGGAGCTCAGCGGTTAGACTCTAAAGGTTATCTACAGTTTCTATCCCTGAAGCTACTGAGTCAGTGGGAATCATTTTCTTGTGGTCCTGGTCCCAGGCAAGGGAAAATTGCCTTAGCCTCCAGGTCTTCACCTGGAAGCTGTGGTAAGTACCCTGTGTTTTAATCAGATGCAGGGGCCAAACTAGAAGGGTTAAAATTCAAATAGCAGTTTTTACCAAAGTATGGTTGCCACTATATTTCACTTAGCATAGCCCAGTGTCCACTAGGAATACTGTACTTGTGGATTGGTATTGCTGAAATGAGTGCTTTCAATAGCTGACAGTGCTAGAATTCCTATGTTCTAACTCCACTGTTGCAATGCACATATTAGAGGCAGTCACAGCATATCAAATCAACGGATTTTTATTTTTACTTGGTTTGCAATATATGCCACCTAAGTTGCTCAGATGTTCTAAGTCCATAAGAAAGATAAACTTTTGAGGACTGACAAATGCACTCTTTAAAAATGTAAAGTAGTGTCTGCTACTCATCTTCAGCCCTTGAAGGATGACCAAAGAGTCAGGCATTTGGTTTCACATTCTAGTCAGACATTCTTTAGACTCGAATGCAGCCAGGGGCCAGAGGACACCATTTGTCCTGCCGGTTTCTCTTAGAACATCAGCATTCCCAAGACCCCCACTGTCATGCCTTGGGATCCTTCCGTTTGGAACCAGAGACCCCCACCTTCTGTTTCTCCCTCCATGCTTCCACCATTTGCACCCTCACTTGTCTGCTCCAAGACTCGCCTGGTTGTGTGTCCAACTCACTGGTTGTGTTGAGGCTCCAGCCCCACTGCAAGGGTAGAGATTTCAGTCTCACAGTGCCGGGGATAGAGCCTAACTCTCTACGTTCAGACCCTAAAGACTTCCTTTACTAACTTGCAATCTTGAGCAAGATAGTTGACTTTCAAAGTCTCATTTTCCTCATTCAAAGAATGAGTAGAGTAATAGAATTGTTACAAAAATTAAATGGGTTAATCTCGTGGTTGGTGCTCAAGAAGTGTTAGCTGTGAAGCGAGATAATGAATGTAGCGTAGCTGGCCGGTAAGAAGCAGAGGTTATTAATAATTCTCTCTTCTCCAGATCCCATGGCCTTTGCCATCTCAGTGACCTACCTGGTAGCCTGGTAGCTGAAATAGTTCATTGTATCGGTTCTCCCTCTTGGAGGGATGGCAGTGTATGTGACATAGCTTGCATTGCCTATGTTGCTTGGCACATAATAAATGCTAACTGTGTTTTTAAATTGAGAAGAGTACTTTGTGGGTGACCCACCACCATTGACAGGGATTAAACATGAGGTGTTCATTCTTTGGTGCCTTCCTCATCTCAGAACATATCTACAGACCTTCACTTACCCACTGTTGGAAGTAATGCTTCATGCTATAGGATTAGCAAGAGATTTAAAGCAAAATGAAGTGCAGAGCAGTGAAGAGATACATCCTCAGTCTTAGGCCTGACGGAAAAATGAGACTGAAACTCTAGCCA